GTTGTTCATCTTCTTCTCCAGAAGATCCCGGCAGTCCGAAGACGACGCGCTGACGTCGCTGCAGATCGGGGTCCCGCGCGCGGCGGAGTCGAAGAGGGAAACGCCCATGTTGAGCATCCCCTGGGGATCGCCGGACGGCCGTCGGATCTGGAGACCCATGAACCTCTCGTTCTTCATCTCCGGCGCGTGGGGAGCCAGGATGTGGTTGACGTTGATGCGGACGGACCCGACGAGGACGTCCCGGAACCACGCGACGGCGTAGATCTCGACGGTGACGGCGGAATCATCGGAGCCGAGGAATTCGTCGTCGACCCGGAAGGAGAACTTGTGGTTCCAGGTGGGATTGGTGTGGCCCTTGGGGTCGATTCCGGTGCTCCGTTTCTTATTCGGGTTGACCCAAATCAGAGCGTAGGTCCGCTGGGCTCTGGAGATGGGGGCCAGGTCTTGGGCGGAGATGAGGGTGATTTCCAGGATGCGGTGGTTGGAAGGCGGAGGGAAGGAGGCGGTGACGGTGGAGGAAGCCGCTGACGTGACGGTGGTGGAAGAATCCATCGGTTTTGCCGGCGTCAGCGGCGGATTGCGGAGAGCGAGCTAAAGTGTTGGTGGCATTGAAAGAGATCCGGGCGTGGGAGGGAGATGCAGTTTTTTACTTTTTGAAGATGTGAGGTGCTAATGGTGTTTCGGTGCACCTGAATTGTTTCCCGCCATTGGTTCCTTGTTGGTCTCCTAGTCTCTCATTTAGGTTTTTTTTTAAAAAAAAAAATCAAAGTAAATAATTAGTACGGAGTAGTAAATTTTGTAAATGGTCCTTAATTACATACTCCGGGGTATTATTTTCTATATTTAGTGTCCAATTCTAAGATATTACATACATGATTCCTAATTTTTTAAAACTATTTCACAATCAGTGCTTCAAGGGCTATATATGAGAAAAAAATATTTTGATAAATTTGGACTAAAGAGTTATTTATGTAATAATTTTCAAAAATTGGTGATCATTTATATACCATCTTAGAATTGAAGATTAAAAATAAAAAATCATCAATAATTAAGATTATTTATGAAATTTATTCTTAATTAGTTGTCATTGTCAAATGATAAATTGAAGTTCCAACCTTAACTACGACAATAAATAATAATCATTATTTATATAAAAGTTTTGCACATAGTACTAACAAACTTTGCTTTTTATTGATCATTATATCTTTATTTATCTCTGATTAGTCTATTGATAAAGTAAGTACTGAATGATGATAGGAGTTGGGATTAAACTTTTTTAGATGAAAATTATCCCTGACTTTATTTGTCGATAAATACTCTAGTAGACTTAGAACATGTCCATCGATGAATTCCAAGTAAGAGTCTCATTTATAAATTTAAGATTACATGTAGAATTATAAAAAAGTGAAACTCTCATCTTCAATGAAATGTTTCATTTTAGAGTTCCATCATTCAAATAAATAACTAGAAAAGGAGAAAAGAATTTGACCCAGGATGATTCAAGCTCGAGAGATCGGTCTCATTTTATTGTTTTCGTCCAAAGATAAGGTACTATTAATAAGTCTCACTTATATGCCAACTAAAAGAGAGGAGATGACATAGGACTTTTAAATGAGAGTGATAGATAAATATTTACTATGGACCTTTAGATGAGAGTGATAGAATATATTTACTATTCTTAATAGTAGCTTTCAGTTATGTTGGAATAAATCAAAATGAACCTTTAATTTTTTTTTTGAAACAAAATGTACTTCTTTCATTCATCACCAAAACAATACATGAGTACCTCACTTAATACATAATCAACATACAATTGACAAAAATCAATGTCTAATTACTTCGTGATTTCCTCTTCCAATAGATAGTCAAGTGCTTTGTTATATGGTTAAAGCTAACCTCTACATCAGGCTTCTCCTTCTTATGGAATAGGCAGTTCCTTGCTTTCCATATATGGTAGCAAGTTGCTGCATAGGTACTTTTGCCTCCATCTCTTCTTCCTCTTCCTCTTATACTCATCAGTGCATCCCTAAGTGCATCCCTAACTGGCTAACTTCTTGAACATTGTTTCCTTCCATCTTGATTCCCAACAAATCAGTTAACCTCTTAAGCAAGGTCCTGGTGAAAGTGCATGTACAGAACAAATGGTCAGCATCTTCATCAATTTCATTGCATAGCCCACATATTCTGTCAATAGGAATATATTTCTCTAGCCTTTCTTTTGTGTTTACTCTTCCTCTACATATAAGCCAGGAGAAAAACTGATGTTTAGGGCATGACATCTTGTTCCAAACAAATGAGATCCAAACCTCATTTCTCCTCTGCCAGTTGAATATTCCTTATCCACAGGCATTTGCACAAACCAATTCTGTTCTGAATAATTTTCTTCAAGTAATAGCAAGTCTCCCCTCTAATCTGGTAGTTAAATGCCAAATTATCTATGTTTTAATTAATGAATTATCAGTTACTCAATAAATTTTGAAGTTGAGAGGGAAGTCTATTTCGAAGCATCCTCTTTACTTCTGAGTAAGGATAAAGTCTGCGTACACACACTCTCTCAAGTCCTACTCTTGTAAGATTCAATTGAGTTGTTGTTGGAAGTCTTATTTAGTGTAGAGTGAAAAATACCATTTTGAATAGCTTGAGTTAGCTCAAAAACCAAAAACCAAAAACACAATAAATTAAATGGACTTGTTTTTAAAATACCACTCACATGTGTGTTAGGCTATCTATAGTGTCTCACCATCACTCACTCCAAATCAGCAGTTATTGAGTGCCACATCAGTACTGATAGTACTCATCATCTCACTTACTTCACACCTCTCTCACCACCATTGCAATGATTGTACTTTTATTTTTTATAAATAATTATTTTTACATTTAAATTAAATTATATCATTTATAAATTAATAATACAAAACAATACTAATTTATTTCATCATTTTTATTATATTTTCATTATTATTTTTGTTGTTTTTAATTTTTTCGTTATTAATATTTTCTCTTTTTTATATTATAACAAATTATTGCACCCCAAGAAAAGACAATCTATCAAATAAAATACCCATTTAAATTAAAATATTTATATTCAAATTACATTCTATCTATTTTTTATATAAAGAAATACAATAATTTTTTAAACATCACTTAAATAAAAAACTGCTAAAATACTAAAAAAAATTGAATCTAAACAACATATTTCAAACTTTTGCTAAAAAGAACAAAATACTACTCCGCAATAAAATAAATAATAACACAGCGACTTTTGTCTCTCACGCTCGTGGTCGTGGTCACGTAGTTGATCACGCAAATAAAAAATAATTCAGTCACATTTTATTTAACTAAGTTTATCACGATTGAAAGAAAAATATTAAATTTAAAAAATTGTATATTTCACGTATACATTTATAAAATTGGCAAATTAGTTTGTCAAATTAGAGATCGATCACTTCAAATTCAGGTTACATCGCATTCAAGTAAGTTTGAGTTTGGATTGATAATTAAGTGTTCATGACCTAGTACCATCGAGTTCAAATCAACACAATGGATTATGAAATTTATTTTTAGAATATTTAAATTCATACTAGCGCTTGCAGTTTGGACTAAAAAATAATTAAATATCAAAATACATATATTAAATATCTTAATTTTCGATTCCTTTTTAGATATATTTAACAATGTAATGAATTGTAAAAATTTTTGAATGCATCACTTAAAAAAAGATAATTGTTTGATATCTTTAAAAACTTATATAAACATACTTTTTTGACTTTTTGGTCTAATAGCGACACACTTTACTATAAATTGTGATAAAAATATAGGGAGAAAGACTAAAGTAAGACTAAAATATTGAAAATATATTAAAATAGGATTTTTCATGTTTTTATTCCCGAAATAGGACTTAAAATGTATTTACATTATCAAACATGGTCATGTACATTACCAAAAAGCAAAGTAATGTGCACATGTACAGTGTCACAATATCACAGTGTGAAATCCCACTTCAAGAAAAAAATCTAAAAGTCCTATTTTAGTATTTTTATCAATGTTTTAGTTTTATTTTGGGTGATATCTAAAATATATTAATTATAATACTCGTATAATTTAATATATTTGATTTATCTTAAGATATAGTTTTGATATATCAAATTTTTATATCATTTATTTATTTAGATTATGTTTAATTTATATTCAAAAAGTATTACTATTTAATTTAAAAAAATCAAAACATGAATATATAAGAAATGACTAAATGAGTAATAAGAAAAACATAAAAATATAGTCTTATTTTTGTTATATTATTTTACATATTAAAATATATAGTTTTATAAAATTTTTGTATTAGTGGGTGCGTGAAGTCGAATTCAAAATGTACAAAAGATAACAATTTCATTAGATTGTTACATTTTCCACTATTGGCTGGTTATAATGTGACATTATTTTGCAATGAAAATACCCTTCCGTACATATTGCCCAATGCATTACCTTTCTAACTTTCCACATGTATTGGTCGTCGAACATTCTCCGGCGACGACGGCCATCTTCTCTCCCATCTTCCGCCCACCTTTTCTAGAACAAAATGCTCCGCCCTCAACCAGCCTACAACCTCCTAGAAATCAACCTGATCTCCGCCCACGACCTCCCTCCCGTATCCAAAACGCTGCGCTCGTACGTCGTCGTGTGGCTAGATCCCGGCCGCAAGCTAACGACGAGGATCGACCACGACGGCCGCACGAATCCCACGTGGAATTATCGGCTCGTCTTCCGCCTCGACGACCGGATGCTTGGTTCCGGCGCCGTCAATTTCGAGATCTATAACGTCGCGTGGCTGCGCGACACTCCGATCGGCACGGCCACGCTCGCGTTGAACAGCTTCTTCCCGCCGCTCTCGGCCAACAATTCCGCCGTGCGACATGCCGCCCTGCCGGTTCGCCGCCCGACCGGGCATTTGCGAGGAACCCTAAACGTTACGATCCGATTGCAAGAAGGCGGCTGCGATGGGAGGGCAGAACCGTCCAAGCCCGATAATTTTGAAGATGTAGACGAAGGCGAAAGCAAAAGGTAGGTTTCGATTTCTGCTCTGTTTCGAATTAATTTCATCAATTTTAATTTTGGAAATAATGTTATTGAACAATTGCCCTAATTTCTTTTTCCCTTTCATCCAGCGTTTTCAATGGTGTTCCAGAGAGATCCAAAATCTGTGGAGAAACGGAGGAGATAAATAAAACGCCGGAGAATCCGCCCGATTGCGACCATGGAAACCTAAAGCGGACAAAGAGCGTCCGGATCGTGTCCGATAAAGAGGACGACGAGATCGTGAAAAACGGCCGCCCATCTTTCAGCGCCTCCTACGTCTCCGGCATGCACCCCTTGCCGTCGGAGGTGGCGGCGGACTTGATGAAAGGTTATTTTTCCGGCGGGGAAGAGGAGGAGTACGGGAGCTCCATATTCGAGAACTGGTCCCTCCCGGGAGTGACCACGACACCGAACAAGGATTGTTACACGGAGGGAGCGAAGAGGGACGAAGATGATGTGGCGTTGATCCCGGTGGCCGGAAAAGGTCACAGCCGGTCGGGGTCGTGGGGGGATAAAACAGGATTGTCGTCGAACCATCACCGCCGGCACCATCATCGCCGGAGCCGCTCCGGTGGTGGGGGATTGTTGTCGTGTTTCGGAAATGCGTACGGGGTCGAGTTCAGGCTCATCTGTGGGTCCGACCCGACGACCAATGAGAAAAAGATTAAAAAAACAAAAGATGAATCTTTTCTTCGAAAGTCCCTCAAAACTGGTACATGAATTTTTTTTTTAAATTAATCATAGTTTTGTTACAAAGACTATAGGGTGCACTAATTGGTTAGGGTTGATGATCACCATATTCATATTTATTTTGATGCATGGGCGGCGGACTCGAGGATGTGTCAAGTGTACATCCACACGGTCTTCTAATTTTGTAAAGTATGATACTATGATGTAATTTATTTATCCTATCGGTAAATGTTTACCACATTTCAAAAAATAAAACAAAATATCAAGTTTTTCAATTCAATGAGAAGATATAAATAAATAAAAGATCTCGTGAGAGTTGAAAAAGAAAATGTAACAAACAATTTGAGACGAATGAAGTAAAAGATTCATAGTTTTTATTAGACTACCTGTAATGTTTCATCACTATTCACTCTAAATCAGCAACCACTCACATGCCCCTACTAGCATGATTCTAAGTGGTAGCGTCATGCAGACGTGAGGGACAGAAAACACTGCCCCACTATTGTTGTGAGGGGATGACGTGAGTGGCTTCGTTTAGACCGGAGTAAAGACGAAAAGGGGAGAATAATAATGAAGTCGTGGGGGGATGACATGAGTGGCTTCGTTATAAATTACACTACTAATTGAATTTAGTCGTTGCACGGGAAGACCGTGTGGATGTCTATACATATGTGAATTTCTTATTTTACAAAATCTGCGAGTGGCTCGAGAGTTCTAGCCTGAGTACAGGTTATGATCAAAGTCAATGATATTTTTCTCTCCCTACACTCTACTCTTCTTTTCCCTCTCCATAATCCGATCTCTTTTTTCCTTCCCTCCATTGGCCAATTGTAGTGGAAATAGTTGTAGACAAGATGGATGACATGGCAGACAACTATTGGTCCATACGTTCTGATGTTCCCACCAGCAATGTGTGCACGTGTCAGGTGTCACCTTCACATTTAATATCTCGTACGGATGTCATTAACGATAGATGACCTTGAAGTGACTAAGTCGAGCTAGAGTAATTCGTAGTATGTTCTCCAATTATCCCTCAAGGATAGAAGTCCCTCCTAAGTATGGCCCGATCGATGGTCGGGTCCCGAGGATACATCAGGCCTCTTAGTGTTGGGAAGGACATAATTTGGCATTGCATGTTCATATTTTATAATGTTGTATTGTATTGTGTTTTCACTATTTTGACATTATAAGTCATATTTCGGTATGCAAACATCAAATATAATATTTTGCTATATGGATAATATTTTTAACATTATTAACTGTATTACAATGTAGTATTTGATGGATAAATGAAAATTTTCAATAGACTATGGAGCAGCTCAAAGCCAAATTTCACATAGTGTAGTGAAACTAGTGATCAAATAGACAGATTTAGTATTAATTCATACTCCATCCATAATCAATGTTTAACAAAAAAAGGTCAAATATATTCAATGATATAACAAACGGATCGGAGTGATTCATACCATCTTCATTCTAGAATAGTTGTGCAGTTTTAATTTTTTACATTCAAAAGTCATAAATTTTGATCATACATTAAATAAAATTTATATTAAATATTGATAGAGTAATAAATTTATTTGATTTATCTTATCAAATATTATTGAAATATCATTTTAATTATCTATATAACATACCATGTACTTTTTATTTAGTTATCTGTCAAAGATCGATCTCATTGAATTGATTTCAATCATACTCCATGTGTCGCAACTCGCATGATTAAAATCAGTTTCGATTTTTTGTCAATTTAAGACACAATTTAACCATAAAATGAAAAAAAATTAGTTAGTTATAATGTAAACTTCTTTTGTACATCAAATATAAACTTAATATAATTAGATTTATTTTAAAATATAATTTTCATATATGTTGAATTAAATTTTCATAACTTTTATTTATTTAACAATCTATATTTGAACAATGTCATAATTTGACAAAAAAATCAAAAGAGACTTTAGTTTTGAGCCATATGAAGTATATTTTTTATACCTCGATCTAAAAAATAAATACTAATTCCATCCCAAGAAATTTGTATCGACTATTCACATCGTCAAATAAATTTTGACCTTGTTTTTTATTTACTAACGCTGCCTATTTGATAAAATAATTACGAGTATATATTCATTCTAGTATTATCTATTTTTTTTTAGAAAAGTCTAGCATTACCTTTCACTTTGTAGAATATTATAGATTTTTTAAAGGAGAATATTATATAATTTTTTATTTTATACCACGGTATTTCTTTTATCCCATAAAGATTGTCTCACATTGACTTTCACAAATAAAAAAATTTCCTAGATAAGAGTAAAAATGTATTAAAATACAAAAATAGGACTTCTAAGTCTTTTAAAATATAAATAAGAGTATAATGACAGTGCGATTTAAGAATACGCATTGACAACGTAATGAAAAACTGATGATAGTGCAATATAACAGTGGATAAGTTAACTGTGGGTGATCTGTGGTGGTACTCAAGTGTTCGGCGACGACGAATAGTATTGTGAAATACTTTGTAGTATTTTGTATGTTATCATTCACACTTTACTTCTGTGAAATATAAACTAAACTTCATAAGTATTTCTTGGAACTTAACTATTTATTTTTCAAATTTTCATATTTATTACTGTAAATGCACTTTCTTTTTTATATACATTTACATATATTTTTAAATGTAAAATAGATAGATGTGTATTCATCCGGATTTGTACCGAAACACATTTTTTTAATCATCCCAAACTGATATTTCGAGATTGACATCAGTACAATATAAAATCTCATACCAAATCAAAATTAATATATGGTACAATATCACTACAAGCTAAATCTTGTCTCATGCATTGCCATGCTCACTCATAAATTCATAATAAAGGCCTATTTTTAAGTATTATTTACTCTATTATAATGTTGTATTTGTTTATAGTTTTTTAACTTAATGACACAAATAATCCAATATTTCTGCCTATACTAGAATCAAACTTGTCCATAAGTCTTGGGGAATGGTCGTCCAGTCATAGTCAAGGGAATGTATATTGTACACTTAGTTGTACGTGGAGTTAGGTACACCTAGTGAAAATTTATTTTGAATCAAAAGAATGCTCATTTAGAATCAACTAAATGTTCATTTTCAACTGTAGTTTTTATTCTGAAGTCTGTTTAGCATAGTCCTCATTATGGAACATGTTTATTCTAAAACAATGTAGTGTTCATTTTAAAGCAACGCAAATTTCTTCTTGAAATATTTTTTTAATTATAAGTTTGCTAGATGTACCAAGATGAAACTGCATCAAGTTGTACCATACAATTTGTCATAGTCAAGGGAGAAATCTCTCTATTTTTTTTGAGTACGCAAAAGTTGTCTTTATTGTGTTAAAATTCCTATCTCAAAAGAGTTAGGGGTACGCGAACATTTGTACACCATGTTTTTCATAGACACGGATAGACAATAATAGTTTGTGCAGTTATAAACAATTATTATTTGTGAAAAACATGCCAAAACTCTTCCAATCTTGTTTAAGTAACCAAAAAAAGATCCTTAATTTAGTATGCTAATCAAATTGAGGACTACTGATTAAACACGGGCGCTTTATAAGAGTGCCCTAAAAAAAGGTTTCTCTTATAAAAATGTCCAAAAAAGGTTTGATATTATGAGACTACCCTCTATCTACCCTCACTGAAAAGCACGAAAAATTAGCATGTGAGATTCCCAAATTACCCCTATTCTTTGGAAGCCATGGTCGAAAGAATCTAATTACGTTCCACAGCCGTTTAACGATTTCCCCCCTTTTTTGACCCGCCCCGAAATTAACTATTCCAGTTTTCTCCCTTTTTTGACCCGACCCGAAATTAACGATTTCATGCCTTTCAGCTCCTCAATCGTACGCACACTACACATTTGTTCTGCAAATCGGCAACCTAATTTGAAAGCACAGCAAAACGATAAGATTTGGGAACGCGTTTAGAAGCTATTGCGTAGCGCTGAAGGAGGAAAAAGAGCAGAAAGAGATTACGGTAAACCCTAATTTTCGATACCCCAAAATTTGATTACAAACCCTAATTTTTCTTTACACTAAAGAGTTATGATTTTTTTTGTTTAGCTCTCCTAAACATCCTTTCTTCTTCGCTATTGCGTAGCGCAGAAGAAGGAAAAAGAGCAGAAAGAGATTACGGTAAACCCTAATTTTCGATACCCAAAATTTGATTACAAACCCTAATTTTTCTTTACGCTAAAGAGTTATGATTCTAATTGAGCCAATTGTGTTATGATTCTACATATCTTATGGTAAACCCTACATTTCTAAGATAGAAATAAACCCTACTCCGAAATAAACCCTATTCGAACATAGTCTGCGAAACCATACGAACATTTACGAATATTCGACGTTATTTCGATTGGTCTCGACTATTCGACGTTCTTTCGATGAATTTCGACTACACTTAAATGTGATATTTTTTGTTGTTTATGTTTTTTCGATTGCAGATGGGTACAGATTCTATTATATTATATGTTGTTTATGGTGGAAAGTGGACCACAGATCACGAAGGGAAGTATGTTTACAGTGGAACGGGCAAGAATATAACTTCGTTGTTTTGGGATGTTGCTAATTTGGACTTTGATACCTTTTTGAAAGCCATTATTCAAAAGCTTGGTTGTGATATGAATAATCAAAGGCCAAAAATTGCATTTCAAATTCAACGGCTTGAAAAAAATATTCCACCCTTTTCCATCGATTCAAGTGAGACACTACATGTATTTCTTTTGGAATTAAAGCAAAACTTTACAGCCTTGCATGTTGAGTTGGTTCCATTTGAACGTGAAGAAAAAGAATAAGAAGAGCAAATACATGAAGTCCAAGAAGCAATTGACCCCTTCGTTCCCCTGATTGATTGCTTCCAGGATGACTTCTTCAATTGTATGATTGTTGCTGATCAAGAATCTGGGCGTGATCAAGACGGTATTGTTTTCAGAAAAATGCAGGGACTTGTGATCAAAATCCTCTATTCATTGAGTCTAATGCCACCCCTGTGAAGAGCCGAGCAACTGCTCAAGTGGATGAAGATGATTATATTGGTGGTGATAATGATGAGTTAAATGAGGACGAGTTCTTTATTCGGAGGGACGATCCTTCTTTTGATACGTCTTTTGGTAATGAGGTAGACGCGACATTGGATGGTGGCTTTGAAGATGGGTCGGATTTGGCCATCGGACTTGAGTTTGCTGACAAAAGAGAGTTGAAGAAGAAGATGGCTGATGTTTCCATACAAGGACATTTTGAAACAAAGACTGTGAAGAGCGACAAGAAGAGGTATGTGTTGAAATGCAAGAGTGACAAATGCTCTTGGATGATGATGGCATCCATCGTAAAAAACACATCTCGATTCGCTATTAAAAAATACAA